GTAAGACTCCTGAGCAGTCTAGCCCCCGGGTAGAGGAGAGCAGGGGCTCCTTGGGCCATGGAAGCATCCCCCAGAGCGAGGTCAGAGGTAGCAGTATGGTCAGCCGGAAAGAGGAGGACACAGCCGGAGCGGAGGAGGAGGAATCTTTTCAGGAGGGAACTTACGACTGTTCTGTGTCCTAACAACAGTGGGGTACGTCACCGTGGGCAGTATTAATTAGCAGCAGTGTGCAACTGAGGACACTGTGACCTAGCTCGATAACTTAACCAGGGACAGAACTCAGCTCAGAGACTCTGGTAAGGTATTAAATTTTAACTAACTGTCCTCTAAGAAGTCTCTTTGACTCCATAAAAATGTGATAGCAGAATCAATCATCTTTCATAAAAAGTTTTTAAGCTGCAGTGGAAAGTAATAAAGAATATTGTACAGATGTACATGAGAATATTTTGGTTTTATTCTTAAAGATTGATAGCTCTTATAAGGATTGTTTGTCCAGATGAGCTTTTTCACTGTGTATAGCTTCTTAACATGTTTTCTGGTACAGTGTGTGTCCAGACTGCTTTTTAAAAATAAATGCTAAGGTGCTTGCTATAGCTTATCAGGTACCTGAGGTACCTGTAATGCGCCCTTGGGTTGAGAGCACTGGACTCTTTGGCTAGGCCTCCTGAATAGATGTCTGCCTTGGCACAATACTGGCCAGTGTCATGAGGATGTGCTCCTTGGCTTTTCTAGCCTGTTATATCCCAGGCCTGAATTGATGGGAGCTATTTGTGAGTCGGTGTGCAGGCTTGATTCCTGCTAGATAAGTATGGGCCGAGGTCTGAGGGGTTGGTTCTTCAATTATGCTGTTAGGTACTACTAAACTATTTTGTATCAAAGAACTTTTTGTGAATACTACTCTTGTGTAAATATATTCACAGGCGGTGTTCATATTTTTAGGCCTTGTATTATAATTTTTAAGGTTTTATGCTGGATTCTGCATGGCTATAGATACTCTTGGAATAAAGACAGGGCTTGCTCTTCTTTCCAAATATGAGCCGTCTTCATAGAGGAAGACAGGTTTATTGGCTTGGTCATAAAGTAACAAATGGTCACACTGATCATGAAATGAAACAGGTTTTGTGCAAATTAATGTAGTTTCTTATTTATTGCTTTTGTAAATTGAATAAAAATGGAGTTTTATGTAAATGGACTGCTGAATCCTGTATTATCACAGCTAATAATTAGTATATAAAAATGCATTCTTCATTGTAACTTTTTAAAATATTTTATGTATTTCAGATGACTTAAATTTTAGTTTTCATACATTATGAAAACTTAACTGTGTACTCCTTTATTGCTTCAGACTAAACACATATCCACTGTACTTCTAATTACCTTATAACAGTATTAATTTAGATAGCTTGTTTGTACTGTGCAATTGAACAAAGGAATGCAATGTTATTTTTTACAAAAACAAACTTGTTTATTTTTATAACAATGTATTTGATGTGGACCAAACTCATACCACTATGTAAAACAGCCTCTCTTCTCATAGTGCAATTACAGTTTAGAACTAAAACTTGGTCCTCTATCCTTGTTTTTTAAAGTAAATGGCTAGAATTAGTTGTCCTAGCCAGGTTTCCTTTAAAGGGAAACTCAAAACCATTTTGAAACTACTTAGTTCAGAATTCATCAAACTTTTAAATTATTGGGTTTGGTAATTTACTGTCATTTACTTCTTACAAGTGCAATAATTTCACATACTCAAACTCCTGGATGGGTGGAATATGTGATTATTGGTACCTGGTCCTTCTGGTGCTACCTTTATTTAATTAAGCCTTTGTTTTAAACCACCTTTCCCTAAATCTTTAGAAAATGTTTCCCATGTGAGTACATGCAGCCCAGCAAGAAACTAAACTGAAATTTCTTCTCTTAGTCCAGTAGGAGAAGAACTAGCATTACTTTTGTGCTTGGTGTGAATATTCAGTCAATAAAAATGATTTACCATTGTAAACAGCTGTGATCTTTTCAAATATCCTAATGTACTGCTGGGTTCATCTTGCACTCTTCAAAGCAGGCACCAATAAGGTAACTGTATTCCTGTGATTAATGCCATAAACGAATTTTTTCTCTCTAAAATACTTGTTTTTCAGCTAATCAGAATGGGTGGCCCCAAGATTAAAAAAAAAAAAGGCAAGTTTTACAGAAATTTTTCTTTGGTAATTGTTATATACTTTAATTTTAAAAAATCCTTATTTTTATTTTGCCTTGTTTGGTTCACGTTCTCCACTGTTTAAGCCATAATTTTAACCAATGAATTTAAATATTCATAACTATTTGAAATTTAAATTATTTGCTAATACCAAAATAAGAAGTCATTGGGGGTTGAGTCAACCTTTGCTTGTAATTAAAATTGCTGCTACTTCTGTAATGTGTATTTTTTTACTTGGTAAAGGGCAATAAAACCATTACATGAACTTTTGTTTATTTACCATTTCAGGTTAACAGTAAAAAGTATATGTATTATGAACCACCAATTATAATTCCACCTCTTAGAATCTTCTGAATGAAATAACTTAGAAATTCAGACAGATTTAAATTTTATTTATATGCAGAATTATTTAGAATAGGTGCATCAAGAGTTGGCAGCATCCTAGATGCCTGACAACACAAGATTGGAACAGACAATCATGGAAAATGTTCAAAGTATAATGAAAAGGAATATAAAATCATGTATACCATATGGTTTCCACCAGTTCTGTACGTAAGTGTAGAGGAGACTAGACAACATCTCTAATAGGTGGGATTAAAAATGATTTTGACTTTTACCTATTTCCTGTATTCCTAAGTCTGCTCTCTGTCTTTATGGATTTGCCTATTCTGGACATTTCATATAAATGGAATCATGTAATATGTGGCTTTTTCTGTCTGGCTTCTTTCACTTAGCAAGATGTTTTCAAGGTTCATCTTTGTATATCAGTACTTCATACCTTTTTGAGGCTGAATAATCATTTTGTGGATATACTACATCTGTTTATCCATTCATCAGTTAAGGGACTTTTGGGTGGTTTCCACCTTTTGACTATCATGAATGCTACTACAAGCATTCATGTGCAAGTTTCTTTGTGGGCATCTTTTCAGTTCTGAGTGGAAATACTGAGTTATATGATAACTGGTTAATGTTTGAGAGAATGCCAACCACATTCCAAAGTGCCTGTGTCATTTTTCCACATTTGTACTAGCAGTGGGAGGAGCGTTCCAGTTTCTACCATCAACACTTGTTATTGTTGTATTCACTTGTTATTGTTGTATTTTTGGTTATAGCCATCTGAGTTAATGTGTGAAGTGGTATCATTGTAGATTTGCATCTCCCTGATGGCTGTCTTTTCATGATTATTAGCTATTTATATATCTTTGGATAAAAATGTCTGTTCACACCATTTGCCCATTTCACAATTGAGTCATTTATCTTTTATTGTTGATTTGCAAGAGTTTTTACATATTTTGGATAGTAGACCCTTATCAGGTACAGGCATCCCCCACTATCCAAAATAGAGTGTGGTGCGCCTATGAAAATACTTTTCATAAGCTGAAATAGCATAAAGCAAAGGATATCCGCCACTTTCCAAAAGTTTGTGTTATACCACTTGGATTTTTAAAATGAAAGACCTAACTAAGTTTAGTACAGTAACGGCTTTTTTTAAAAGCAAAAATCCTCTTAGGATTTCTTTTGGTTTGTAAAAACAGGTACTAATGTCTATTTTCTCCTAAGAATTTTATAGTTTAGTTCCTACAGTTTAGGTCTTGATCCATGTTGAGTTAATTTTAGTATGTGGTATGAAGTGAGGGGATCTAACTTTGTTTTTTTGTATGTGGATATTTAGTGTCCCAGAACCAGTTACTAAAAATTTTTCCCATTGAATTGTCAAAAACCAATTGACTAAATATGGGTTTATTTCTGGGCCGTTAATTGTACTTCATTGATCTATATGGCTATTCTTAATGTCAGTACCACACTGTCTTGATTACTGTTGCTACTTTGTAGGAAGTTTTGAAAGTGTGAGTTGTTTTCTCAAAACTGTTTTTACTATTCTGGGTTCCTTGCATTTCTGTATGAATTTTAGGATCAGCTTGTCAGTTTCTGTGTGCATGAACACAAAAGGCAGCTGGGATTTTGGTGAGGATTGTATTCAATCTATAGATCAATTTGGAGAATATTGCCATCTTAATATTAGGCTTTCCAATCCATGAACGTAGGTTGTCTATTTTTGTCTTTAATTCCTTTCAGCAGTGTCTTAGTTTGCAGTATAAAAACCTTGTACTTTTGTTAAGCTTATTCCTAAGTATTTTATTCTTGATGCTATTTCAAATAGAATTTTCATTTTTGGATTGTTCTTTGTTCGTTAGTATACAGAGTTACAGTTGGTTTCTGTACATTGATATTGGACCCTACAACACTGCTGAAGTTATTAACTGTAATAGTTTTTTGTGGTTTCCTTAGGATTTTCTATATAAATGATCTATCATTTGCAACTAGAGGTAGTTTTAACAGTTCCTGTCTAATGATGCCTCTTCCCAAAATGCCCTGGCTAGAGCCTCCAGTACAGTATTCAATAGTGGACATCCTTGTTTTTCTAATATTAGAGGAAATGCTTTGTCTTTCATCGTAAATTATGTAATAAGCTGTGATGTTTTTCACGGAAGACCTTTATCAGGTTAAGGAATTCCTTTATCATGAAAAGATGGTAGGCTTTGTTAAAAAAAATTGTTTTTGTATCTATTGAGATGACCATATATGGTGGTTGTCCTTTAATATGCAGTACTGCATTGATTGATTTTTCAAGTGTTAAACTATGCATTCCTGGGCTGAATATCACTTGATCATGGTATAAGATCAAACTTGGAGAAATTATCAACACAGTATACTTCTACAAATCAAATAAGTAGCAATATCAAAAATACATATCTATGTACTTCAAAACTGGCTAGGATATTTTTCAAATAAAAACAGGTATAAAGAGGTCTAAGTGCATTTTGGCTTTATTCGCCCTAAGAGGCAGCAAGGTGTATTAGGAATAGTTGCCATTCAGCTGTTTCACCTTGTGAACTGTTTTGAAGGCATTCACTCAAAGTGAAATACCTTGCACCATGATGTGTGGGTACTCTTTTGGAGAGTACTTCCCTTTCTCTCCTTTCCTTGGAGAGAATGAGCAGTGGGTCGCCTTCTGACTGAAAGACAGTTTCTTCTTCTGTCCTTCCTATCCCTATCTTCCAACAAAAGAACACCTTTCTGAGCCTTTCATGATTTTCTTTGCCAAGGGAAATGATTTAAAACTACTAAATATGCTGAAGCTCAATATTTACCAAATAATAGGTGATTAATTTCTGTAGAATTCAGATGCACAATCTCATTCCACTGCAAAAAGGATTCTAGTTAAAGTAAACTAACATTTCCATGCTAAGTTCTTTGCTCATATAACCCATTAAAATAGGAGTTATATCCACATGAGCCATCTAGGTCTTTTAACAGTAAAATGCTGTGTAGACTTGAAATAACCCTCTGAATATGAGGATACAGGATAACATAATTAATAAAGATCTTTTTTTCTGTTAAAGATACTAGGATATTAAAAAGTATTTCAGCAACATTGTAAGGCAAAAATTAATCAAGTCAGCAAACTAGTGAAAAGAAACAGAAACAAACAATATGGGTTCCTGAGTCAGCAGGCTGGTTTATGGGCTCCCTCAGTGGTAGCCTTTTAGGAACCCTATGCTAATTTGCATCTGCTAAACTGTGGAAAGGAATATTTCATGCAACAATCATTGTTAGGTCTGACACAGTGCACATTTTAATAATTATTTTGAAATCACAATTCTTTACACTTTCCCTGAATATGCAGTACTGTGCTTACCTACATTCAAATTCTGTAGGAAATGATCATATACTCAAAAAAAAAACCTAGTACTTTAATCTTAGCAGCACTTATTAACAGCCATGAATAATTAGTTAACCATTTCTGGCATTAAAATAATCTCAGAATATTTAAACGTGCCCAGAGACTAGTGAGCATCTTGTTACTGACCTTGCATAATATTAAAGTTTTATAATGCTAAAAAAAAAAAGAGAATTGTTTACATATAAAGGTATAACCCAAAGGTAAAAGGAAAACCATGATCATTACTGAAAAAGAGTTACAACGTCCTTCCTAAAGGGGGAAAAAAAAAACACCACAGGGAACTATTTGTTTTTCAACCAATGTCTTTCCTCAACACTTGAGATTTTGCTTTTTTTTTCCCTGTAATTTCTAGATCAGTTTCAAATTGACCACAGCGACAGAAATATGCCTGTACAGTCATCCCTCATAATCTACATGGGATAGGTTCCAGAACCCTCCTCAAATACCAAAATCTGTGGACGCTCAAGTCTCTTATGTAAAATGTTATAGTATTCATATATAACCTCCCATATACTTTAAATCATCTCTAGATTACTTATAATACAATGTAAATGCTATGTAAATAGTTGTTACACTGTATCGTTTAGGGAATAATGACAAGGACAAAAGTCTGTACGTGTCAGCAAAAACATCATTTTTTTTCCCCCCACATATTTCTGACTCACAGTTGAATCTGTGGATGCAGAACCTGTGGATATGGAGGACCATATTTTGAAAATTCATTGAGGTATTACTATCTCTAACTTTTCCTCCACAACTGTGCTACTCAAGGTATAAACACTGCAAACTATATACCACTTGACAAACTCAGAAATCATCTGGCCTCATGGATAAATATGGTAACAGCCAGACACTGAAGCACTTGAGGCTAGTAATATATGGTTTCTACAAAGTCAGAAAAAGTAATGGCTCCAGTGTCCATGCATGTCACAGTCAGCATGTTATCATTCAGCTCTGGCTGCAGCCCTGATATTTGCGTGAGCCCAGTTTTTAAAGAGTCACAAATTAGGCAGGCAATATGAAGAGCATGATTAATAAATCACATTGTACATATCACACAAGCAGCTGCAAGAAAAATCCCGCCCCCCCATGCACACTTAACTATGCTCTTGCTGTTCAAATGGATCAAAGTGCAAAGTTTTAAATTTTTACTATGACTTTTCTTTAAAAATATTTTTGGCCTATGGTTACTAAACTCAAAATTTATCCAACTTTTTACATTTCTGAATGGAAAAAAGAAAGCTAACAAAATTTACCACCAGACCCTTTCACTGCTGGAGTCAAGAACCCATCAGAGGCACTGCTGTGATAAGCCTCACATGCTACACAGCCATCTTCAAAATGAAAAGCACCTTTAAGCCCTAGGACTGCCATTGTGCAGGATCTGAACCCCGACAACTATAGGTGCAGTGATCTCATTCTAGTACAAGCCACAACCTCAAGTCTCAGGAAAGCCAGCTCTGCTAGTGTTTAAGTTAGTTACTGAGAAACCAATTAGTTCATATGGCTGGAAAACAGACAAAAATAAGGACCTAGTGCATCAATAAAATTGTGCCCTAAAGAATTAACCTTGGATAACAAAACTCCTACAAAACAGAGTATATAAACTGCTCAGCAGCTCACAACCCACCCCTCACTCCAGTCTTGTCCTTCCCAAGAATAGCCACCATAGAAACTCAGTCCTCTGAGGAAGGAAGGAAGGAAGGAAGGAAGTCATGTACTTGCAGAAACAACATTCTGAACCAAAAAGAACCTGTGAAAACCCAGAGGTGACTATAGCTGGAAAAATGCTCCTCTTCTCAAATTGATAAGATGAAGAGGGGGAAAGATATGTTTCAGAAGGAAACAAGCATTGAAAACCACCTCAGAAAAGCATCACAATGGTGAATCTCAGTGACCACTAGGCAGAAGGACAAGAGTCACCATCTTAGCACAGGTATCCACATCAGGGGTCCTGGGCTTCACTACAGAGATGCAAAGCATACTCTCAAGGCTGCCTGAAGAAGCACAGCTCTCAGCAAAGGCAGGGACCTCAAACGCCCAAGGGTTCTTCCCCAGTCCTTACTGTAAAAGCTTTCTAATGACCTATAGTTAGGTATCAAGGGGAATCATTACTCCAGTGAATGGTATTTTATGCTCCATCCACTAATACAATAAATGGTCTTGGGCTTTAACTGGAAATGTCATTTGTCTCATTAACAATGGTCTTATAGTACCTTCAACATCTTTCATGATCCTAAGGGAACAACTACTAAGTGGTTTGTTGGCTTTTGTCCTTAAGGTCATATAAAATGACATGTTAGTGTAGTGGCAGTATCCACATGTGCTTTAAGGCCAGGAAACTGGCATTTTCAAGTGTCAAAAAGGCCATGCATCACTACCCCACAGTGTAACCATTATAATGCTTGGCCCTGAAGAGTGTTAGCCCACAAAGCTCTTTGACAATATGCTTATTAAAGTCCATTGACTTACATTACAAATATCAATGTAGCATAGGGAGAAATCACGTCACATGACATATCCCACTGGGCATGTACTCAGAGCTCATCCACAAAATTAAAACACAAAGAGGTCGTAGGTGCACACCCAGGCAGACGGAAATGTCCAGTCTGGGAACTTCTCTTTCAGAGTATCCAGCTGGGAGGATTTCTTGTCTTCCCCAGAAAAATAGTGGGCAGCAATGGCCACAGTGACTATTCCCTCAGGCTGTTCCTCCAAGACCTGGCAGAGAAAATTAGTTAGTTCTCTAGTTCTGTGAAGACAGAATACTGATCCCAAGTATTCGATTCCTGCCTAATACCACTTAGGAACCTGATCGGTGATACCAGCAATGCTGGGAAATACCGACCTGTACTTCTATCCAGAACTGCCATGCAGAAGCCTGGAGTCCATGGGAGTAAAATACAAAGTAGTCTCCTCCTTTACTCGTGACTGGGGTGCCATTGCCAAGAGACCACTGAGAGAGCGTTGATCCTTTGTGAGTTCGAACGTAAAATGACATATGGCTTGGTCCTGTAACATAAGAGGAAAGATCATCAGTTAAAACAATCTTTAAAAAAGTATTAACAAGAAAAGCAATCCACCACCCAAACCAGACTATGAAGTTCATGCCTTTTATCACTTTAAAGACACTGCAAACTTAATGGAGGCTTGCCAGTTTGGACTTACGGTGTGTATTAATGAAGATAAGTAATGAGGTGCGGCAGAAAAGGCACAGATTTTACAGTGAGAGAACCTGGGTTTAAGTCTTGGCCCTGTCATTTAAACATACAAGAACCTAGCACTCAAGCCTTTCCTCAGAAGTATAGAGAATAAGCTTCTTATAATCAAGAGATAACTGCAAAAACTGTAACGAAAGAATGGACGCCAAGGATTTAAAAATATCCAAATATATTACTAAAACAAATATTGAGGTGAGGGTGGAAGACTAATGCAAATGCTGCATATGTAACACTGAGGGGGAAAGAGGAAAATACAATAAGCAAACTGCTGTATAGGCTAAGAGAGTTAAAGAATGCCATTAAATCCTGAGACACAAATAGTAAAAGGTTAAATAACAGGTGATCACAACAAAAATATAAACCTTCTTAAAGGCCAGAAAATATTTTTTTAATTAAAGAGCAAAGACAACACTTCACAGAAAAAAGGAATTTAACAAATAAAACAATTATAAAACACTGTGACAAAGTTCAGACCAAATGCATCAGTCATAAAAATAAATGTGAATAGACCTAGCTCATCCACTAAAAGAAAAAAGTTTTCACCTTGGCTTACAAAGCCAGACCTAATCATATGTTATAGTCAAGAAACAAATTCAGAAAGGGTAAAACTAAAGGTTTGAACAAAAATATTTCAGGCAAGTGGACACAATTTTAAAACGGCCTCTTTGATAATCAGAAAAAAATAGAATTCAAGACAAAAAGCATTAAAAGTAAAAAGAAAATATAATACTAAAAACTGTAATTCACGATGATATAAAAATTGTGAGTCTACGGCCATGCCACCCCGAACGTGTCCGATCTCGTCTGATCTCAGAAGCTAAGCAGTTTCGGGCCTGGTTAGTACTTGGATGGGAGAACACCTAGGAAGACCAGGTACTGTAGGCATTAAAAAAATATAAAAAATAAAAAAATTGTGAATTTTGTGCATCAACATAGCAACAACTTCATGAAGCAAAACTACAGGAGATAGAAGATGGATATACATGCACATACAAATAAGAGACTATAATATTCCACTCAGTATAAGACATTAATTGAACAACAAAAAAAAAACAATAAAAAAGACCTAAACGAAATGATTAGTGAAATAGTAATACAGAATATATCTTAAGCGGGTGTGAAACATTCATTAAAATATTGGATTACAAAGGAAATATCAAAGTTCTATAAAATAGAAATATTACAAATAACACTAGTCATAATTCAATAAAACCTGAAATTACCAATAGCAAAACAAAACAGCCTATCGGGAAATAAAAGTTCTTCTATTTAAAAGACTCGTGGGTAAATGAGGAAACAAAAATTACAGAAAAATTTTAAAATAAAGAATACACTACATATCAAATTAGTGGATACATACAAAGTGATAAGAGGAGAATCCATAGCAATAAATGTTTTTTCAGTAAAATAATAAAATGACAAGTAAAAAGGACAGCAAAATAAAAATGACAAGTAAAAAAGGACAGCAAAATAAAAAGTTAGGAAATATTACAGCTAAAGCAAAAATCAATGAAATAGAGAGTAGAACAAAACAGACCTTACAAACTGAAAGTCTTATTTTTTTTTTAATTAACAAGATTAACTAACTTGATTAAGAAAGAGGCAGAGGGGAAGGGAAGTGGAGCAAACCAAAGTATACAAAAAAGAAATAAGAAAAATCGGCAGAAGAAATTTGTAAATCACATGTGGCTACTTTGCAGACCTCAATACTAATAAATCAAACCAGATGAAATGGATACTTTTCTAGGAAAATACAGATGACCAAAACTCAATACAGAAGTTTAAGGCTTAAGCAGATCAATTTCCCTAGAAAAAGTTATTAAGAAACTACCCAACAAAATAAGCACCAGGCCCATGTGGTTTCAGAGATGAATTTAAACCAATTTTTCAACCAAATAGTTCCAATGCTCCATAAAATGTTCCTAAAGCACTGAAAATTAAGGAAAACCTGGCTGTTTTCAGGATGTATCACATTTATGATGCTTTTACATTTATAATGTATAACATTGATACTTAAATCTGATAGAGTACCCCACCTCCCAAAAAAACCCACACATGGGCCAATACCATTCATGAGTATTGATGCAAAATTTCTGAATAAAATACTAGCAAACACCCAACATCACATTAAGAAAATAATAGGCCCGCCCTGATGGAATACACCATATTAAAATATTCAAGGAAGAAAAATCCTGTGATTATAGATAGCTAAAAAAAAAAAAAAAAAGCCTTTAACAAAATTAAAAACCAATCCTTACAAATACATTCAAGAAATGACAGTTGATGAATGCTTCCTTAACATGACTGTAAGGCTAGAATCTTACAATAGAGACCTCTGTACCGATATCAAGAACAAGGCAAGAATACTACTGTCTCAACAACTGTTCTACACTATGCTAGAAGTATTAGCCATTCAGACAAATCAAAGGCCTAAGAATTGGTAAGGAAGAAATAAAAACTATATTTGCATATGCTGTGCAGTAGTCAATAAGCTATACTTGAAGCCTGCTTTTGTATGGCTCTCAAGCTAAGGGTGTTTTTTATGTTCTTAAAGAGTAGTTAAAAAAGAATCTACAACATAAAATATTTACCATCTGGCCCTTGAAAGTTTAGCAATTACTGGTATCCCTGGAAAACCCTAGAGTATCACAATTAACACAAAAAATAAAAGATTTGGTGAGGCAGCAAGATGTAAAATTGACATACAGAAATCACTTGCCTTCATACATACAAAATAAAACCACTCAGAAGACATACTGGTAGAGAAAACCCCAATTATAACAGCAACAAAAACTAGATGAGGAAAATTTTGTAACACTCTTGAAAGACACAAAAGTTGATATGAACAAATGAAAAGGCATTGCCATTTTGTAGACAGGCTGACGCAACATCATGTCAAGTTCTCTTTAATTTATAAACTTATTGTTATATTCCCCAAAATACCAATTAGCAATAAGTTTAATATTAGAGTTAATATAAAGTTCACATGGAAAAACAAACATGCAAAAATAGCAAAGAAAACACTGAAAAAACCTACAAAGGATCTTAACCCTCCTAATTATAAAGCTTCTATAATTTAAAGTGTGGTAACTGGTACACAAACAGACCTACACATATACAATTTTTTTTCCTGATTTTTTTGAGATTTCTTGAACCTTGATCTCACACCATACACAAGAATTAATTCAAAGTGGATCATAGGCCATAAAAAGCTAAAGTTATACAGTTTCTAGGAAAAAAAAAAAAACTACCTTTGTGACCTCTGGATAGGCAACGTCCTTTGGAGAGGACATATAAAACACTAATCCTGTGAGAAAAAAGAACTGATAAATTAGATTTCAGAAAAATTTAAAACTTTCACACATCAAAAGATAACCATTAAGAAAACGAATGGGTAAGAAAATCCTGATAACACATAAATCTGAGAAAGGATTTTTATCTGAAACACAAACCACAAGTCAATAAGCCCAGTTTTTAAAAGGGAGAAAGACATGAAGAAACAAAGCAAGATATATGGTCAATAAGCACTTGGAAAAGTGTTCCACATCATTAATTATTAGAGAAATGCAAGCGAGACTACTAAACACCCACTAGAAATGTTAAAAATATAAACAGCAGCCAATACCGGTGAGAATGTAGAACTGGAACTCTCATATATTATTGGTAGGAGTGAAAAATGGAACAAAATATTTTAAACAAAAAATGTACCAAAGAAAGTAAACATAGCCTTACTGCCTACTAATGCCAGACCAAATGCTGTAAAGGATCTGACAATGAACCTAAAACCTCCTTAAAAATCATAATTGGCTTCCATTTCTTTTAGAAACATTATAAGCTCTCGAATTGTTGATCACTATAATAAATTTGAGTGGGACAAAACCCACATGCAACTTACTAAAAAGTTTAAGTGAAAGGAAAAAAAAAAGACCCTGTTCTATACTTACTACTGCTTCAAAAGTCAACTTTATAGAATCCCAGGGAGGGAAGAACTGGGAATACTATTTTTTAAAGTGTCTGCACTACCCCTGAAGTTTTATAGTGTTATTTGAAAGTGAACTTACTGCAAGCTCTAAGTCAACTACTAAAAATAATTTTAAGAAGTATCAATTGATAGTGCCTAACAATGTTAAAATAGGTGAAGCTAAAACTGAAGGAGAAATAGATAAATTCACTGTTATAGTTGGAGACTTCAACACTATCAGTAACTGACAAATTCAGCAAGCAGAAAATAAGTAAGGATATAGTTGAACTAAACACCACCAAAAAACTAAATCTAATCGACATTCACAGAATCTTCATCCAACAACAGCAGAATACACATTCTTTTCAAAGTCACATAGAACAATCACGGAGACCACATCCCATAACATAAAACAAAGTTTAACAAATTTTAGAACAAATCATACAGTGTATGCTCTCAGTCCACAATGAAATTGAACTAGAAATCAATAATGAAAAATAGCAGGAAAAACCCAAAGTATTTGAAGACCAAAAACACACTTCTAAGTAACAAATGAGTCAAAACAGTCTCAAAACACTTAAAAATAAGTTGAACTAAATTAAAATGAAAATACACTTAAAATTTGTGAGATGGAGCGAAAGGAGTGCTTAGAGGGAAAAATATAGCATTGGAAACATACTAAATATAACATTAAGAAAGAATCTAAAATCAGTCTAAACTCCCACTTTAGTAAACTAGAAAAAGAAGAGCAAATTAATACAAACTAAGCAGAAAATAAATACAGCAGATCCTCAAATAACTTCATATTGTTCAACATTTCATTTTAACATTGATAAAATAAAAAATGGATTCCTGGCTGGGGCCATTGTCTGTGTGGAGTTTGTATGTTCTCCCCATGTCTACGTGGGATTTCTCCAGGTCCTCCGGTTTCCTCCACATTCCAAAGATGTGCACCTTAGCTTAACTGACTTGTCTAAATTGTCCCAGCATGAGTGAGTATCGGGGGTGTGTGTGTGAGTTCACCCTGCAATGGAATGGCATCCTGTCCAGGTTTGGTTCTGGGCTTGTTCCCTGAGCTGCTGAGATGAACTCTGGCCACCCACCACCCTGACTGGAATAAGCAGTTTGGAAAATACTTATTTTGTTTTTATTAATCTTTCTTAAGTGTGTATATAGCTCACATTTATTTCAATGTTTAATATTATAAGTCTTTAGAAATATGGTGATATTTTTGTAACTTAACGCTTGTTAGCCTATGGTAAAACTCGTTTTCTTATACATTATTGATTTAAGTCAGTTCCAAGAACCCATCCACAACATTGAGGACTTAACTGTAATTAAAGTGAGAGTAGAAATCAATGAAATTAAAACAGGAAGTTAACAGAGAAAATGGGATAAAAAACTGGTTCTTTGAAAAGATCAATAAAATCAATAAGCCTCTACCCAGGCTAAATAAGAGAAAAAAGAGAAGACATAAATTACTAATCTCAGAAATGAAAAAAGATATCACTACAGATTCCATGGACAGTAAAAGGATAATAAAAAAAATATTATGAACAACTCTCTGCCTGCAAACTGGATAACCCAGATGAAAGGGATCAATTCCTTCAAAGGCACAATCTGCCAAAAGCCACACAAGAAAAAAGATAATCTGAATAGCCCTATTAGAAAAATTGAATCAATAATTAATGACCTTCCAAAACAGAAAAAACCAGGCCCAGATGGGTTCATTGGTGAATTCTACCAAACATTTAAGGAAGAAATTATACCAAATTCTCTGCAATCTTCAGAAGACAGAAGCAGAGAGAATACTTCCAAACTAATTCTATGAGGCCAGTATTACACTAATACCAAAACCACACACAGATATTACAAGAAAACTAGTATCTCTCATGAACATCGATGTAAAAATACTCAACATATGAGCAAATCCAACAATGTATAAAAAAAGAATTATATGCTACGACCAAGTGGGACTTATTCCAGTTATATAAGATGAGTTCAACTTTGAAAGTCAATTAATGTAATCCATTATATCAATGGGCTAAAGAAATAATGTGATATTAATGAAGAAATAAAACTGAAGATGACATGATCATATATGTAGGATATTCAAAAGAATCAACAAAAAAACTGTAACAATTATAGCAAGACTGCAGAATACAAGGTTAAAAGTCAATTGCTTTCCTATATATACTATTAATGAACAATACCATTTACATTAATACCCCCAGAAATGAAATACTCAGGCATAAATCTAAGAGATATACAGATCTATATGAAGAAAACTACAAAACTCTGATGAAAGAGCTCAAACAAGACATAAACAGACATTCTACATCATGAATAGGAAGTCAATATTGTTATGATGTCATTTTCCCCAACTTAATCTAAAGAGTCAATGCAATTCCAATCAAAATCCCAGAAAGTTATTTTGTGGACATCAACTAACTGACATGTGGAAAGACAAAGGACAAGCAATATACTGAAGAAGAATAAAGTTGGAGGACTGATAACCCAATGTTGAGGCTTACTGTATAGCCACAGTGATCAGAGCAATGCTGTAATGGCAAAAAAAAAAAAAAAAACCAGAGAGATAACCAGAACAGAATAGAAAGCCCAGAAATAAACTCACACAATATAATCAACTGATGTTTGACAAAGACACAAGCAATTCAATGGTAACAGATAATAAGATAGTCTTCAGCGAATGGTACCGAAACAACTAGAAATCCACATGCAAAAAAAAAAAAAAAGAATCTAAACCTAGACCTTATACCTTTCACAAATAATAAGTTAAAATGTACACCTACATGTAAAACACAAACAAAAACATCTAGGAGATAACACTGGAGAAAAGCCAGATCCCTTGGGTTTCACGATGATTTTTAGATACAATATCAAAAGCATGATCTATGAAATAAAAATTGATTATGTTGGGTTTCATTAAATTGAAAAACACTATTAAAAGAATGAAAGGACAGACAGACTGGGAAGAAATATTTGCAGAGCACTTAATAAACGACTTATATACACAAAGGACTCCTAAGTCTCAACAATAAATAAACAAACAACCCGATTAACAGACAAAAGATCAGAATAGACACTTTACCAAAGAAGGTATACCGATGGCAAATAAGCATATGAAAAGATGCTAAATATCATATACTAGGGAACTGCAAATTAAAACAACAAGATAGCACTACATATCTCCCAGAATGGCTAAAATCCTAAATATTAACAGCACCAAAAGCTGATGAGAAGACAGAGCAACAGGAACTCTCATTCACTACTGGTAGAAAAGCAAAATAGTACAACCACTTTGGAAGACAGTTTGGCAGCTTCTTACAAAGGTATATATAGGCTTACCATACAAGCTAGCAATTGTGCTTCTAGATATTTATCCAAATGAGTTGAAGACGTTATGTTCACACAAAAACCTGCACACAAATGTTTATAGCAGCTTTATTCATAGTTGCCAAGAACCAGAAGTAACCATGTTCTTCAGTAGGTGAATGGATAAACAAACTGGTACATTTATAATGTTATTCAGCAATAAAAAGAAATGAATTATCAAGCTACTAAAATACATGAAGGTACCTTGAGTGCATATCGCTAAATGAGAGAAGCCAATCTAAGAAAGCTACAATCTGTATGATTCCAGCTATATGACATTCTGGAAAAGGCAAAATAGTGGAGGCAGTACAAAGATCAGTGGCTGCTGGGAGAAGTGGGAGGAGAGAGGGATGAATAAGTGGAGCACAGCGGGGTTTTTAGGGCAGTGACTCAATTCTGTATGAAACTGAATAGGCGGACACATTTGTCAAAACCCACGTAATTATACAGAGTGAACTGAACTTAATGTAAACTAAAGACTTTAGTTAATAATAATGTATCGGTATTGGCTCATCATTAATAAGAAACGTACCACACTAATGCAAGATGTTAACAGAGAAGCTGAGGAGGAAGGGAGATATGGAAACTACTTTATGCTCAATTTTCCTGTAAACCTAAAACTGCTCTAAAATATAAAGGCTGTTAAATTTTCTTTAAAAAATCATAACCAGCTTGAATTGCTTTTAGAAACACCAAGTTGCTGGTCACTGTTACAAAGTTGAGGAAAAAACATACATGATTAAAAATTTTAAGAACTGAAGGCAAGAAGAAAAAACTGTCATATGACTTACCTATTGCTTCGAAGGTCAGTTTTATAGAATCCCAGGGTGTCTGTTCTTTGGATATAAGCTTGAAATGAGCATGAGTTCTTGGAGAAACCTCTGGGGCAGGAAGATACCAATTTTTCCTATTTGGAAAGGAATTCGGTGTTCAATATTTCAATAATATTTAGGATGCTTTATTACTTAATAGCTCTCTACAACTCATGGAAGTCTTCGAGAAATATGAAACATTTTGAGGTATGAAAATAAACTCGATAAACAATGCCAGTGCCTCTGAAGCCCAGGTTATTACATAATAAAACCTTCCTAAAATTAAGAATAAAGGATCCTAGATGATCTTGATTCTACTACCTGTCCTATTTCTTCTCATCTAATTCTTCACTGCCAAACCATGAAAATGCCCCAGAAATAAAAGAAACAGTTTGAACTTGATGCTTAACTGCTATTATATTAGATCACTTAAGAGGGCCACCTTTTCTAGCTACTTAGATTTCTATTGGAAAGGCTACCTAAATTTAAAAAAAAGCAAAACTACACTTCTGATTTACTTATCCCACTAAAAAATAAAACAAACAAAAAAACCCAGAACTTTTGTAGTAATAGAAAAAAATAGTATAAATGTCACTTGACTTCTGTGTTAACCAGTTTAAGTGAAGTAATGATATAGTGATAAGACTTGAGAACAAACCAACCTCCAGCTAAAGCAGAAAAGTAGTGAACCAACCTGATTAGAAAGTGCACTGGAAGATACCATGGGAAACCACAGAGGGGTGCATTCTCCTCACAGTGAGCTCGGATGGTATCGTTGATCTCCGGAACATGAGGTGTTATGTGAGACATTCCGGTGTAATCAAATCCATTGATCCATATTCCAGAGTCCCGTTTAACTACGTTGCCATCCAAGCCATGAAATGTTCTAGTCATATGCTGAAAAGAACTAAACTAATGAGAAAACTACTGTTTCACTCCTTCACCCACACCTCCACCCCAGCTTAACAAAAATGAGTAAGTCTGACAACACCAAGAAATGATATGGCTGTGGAGCAATAGGAACCCTCATATACTGCTGGCGGGAGTATATGCTGGCACAATCACTTTCGGAAACTGTTTAGCATTATCTAATAAAGTTAACATGCACATTCAAGCCAGCAATTCTACTCCTAAATATGTACCTTAGAGAAACTCCTGCAAGGTGCAAGAGTGCTGATTCGACATTGTCCATTTTAGCAAAAACTGGGAACCCAAATGTTCATTAATAGTAGAATGGGCAAACTGGGGCATCATCCTACAACAAATATATCTATTCAACAATGAAAATAATGTGCTACATTGACACAGATCAACATGGAAGATTTTCATATGCTATTGGGCAAAGGAATATTTATGGTATGGCTTTACCTGTAAGAAGTTCAAAAATAGGCAAAACTATATGTTGTTGTTTAGAGATTTACACATATGTGTAAAATAAAGAAAAGGTAGTGATTAACTCCGAACTTTAAGATAGGGGCTGAGTAGTTCTTTGGAGGCTGGGGAGAGGGAGAGGTTTTCAAGAAGGGACATTTGGGTTTCCTTAGGTACTGCTAATGTTCTTTCTTTTAAACTCAATGGATATGCAAATGATTATTTTATTATTTCTTACAAATATATTTAAATTTCATCTAAAAAAAGTGAAAACCTACTTCACATTTAAAAGACATGAACACTAAAACTCCTTTTAGATAAGGACTTAAAAACAAATACATCCTAAGATAAATATACATACACAGACATTTTTTCTTTCTGTATGTTTCATGAAGCTAATTGTTTCATGTGCAGAGAAAAACAGGAACCACAGCTCACCACTAGATGACAGACTTGTGCCTAACAGAATTCTATGAAAGGCCACCATGTTCCATCTAGAATATATTAATAGCAGAAATCAGCCTGAAGAATGAAAACAGGAAAAGAAAAAGGACTGCATAGGGCAGGGGTCGGGTATACCACAGCCCACAGGCCAAATGGCCCACTACCATTTTTATAAATGAAGCTTTATTGGAACATGGCCACACTCATTTGTTTAGGTATTGTCTATGGCTGCCTCCAATCTGTAAAACCAGTAGCTGTGACAGAAACCATATGGCTGGCAGATCTTAAAATATTTATTATCTGGACTTTTACAGAAAAGTTCACCAACTTCTGGCACGAAGGAAGAAGTGAGCCCCAAAATCAATGAGAACAAGAGTTTTTAAAAATAAAAATCTAGCATTTCCTAAATACTACTGATATGATTATAAAAATTAGCAAGACACTATGTCGTACACCTAAAACTAATGTATGTCAACTATAATTAAAAATAAATTTAAAAAAATTAGCAAGTCACTGGAAACATTGAATCTCCTAAAAACTAGCTGTTCTTCACTAAAGGTTTTGCAAATTGTAAAATTTGCCACATAAAATGTATCAACTGTGTCTTCTAGGATAATAAACAAAGAAGAGTCAGCCCTTTTTCAAAATCTCCTGATATTTAAATTCAGATGTTATTCAAATCCTTGAATAATTACTGAGGTTACAACTCTTGGCTTTTCTGTTTGGCCACTCCACAACCTCTAACAGAGAAGATGACTGGAAATAAGGCAACTTAGTCTTTTTTCCTGCTTTATAGTACTAACTCTAAAAAGTTTGCAGGAAAACTTGAAATTTAAGAAAGTTCTAAATCTCATTTAATTAATCCATTACTAAGTATTATATTTTTATTATCACATATGCTTTGAGCATTACCTAAGATCAATTCTACTAGCATTTTAAAATATCAGGAGTTCAGATTTTTACTTAGCCTGCTGACATTTTTACAATCAAAGGTAGTGATTAACTCCGAACTTTAAGATAGGGGCTGAGTAGTTCTTTGGAGGCTGGGGAGAGGGAGAGGTTTTCAAGAAGGGACATTTGGGTTTCCTTAGGTACTGCTAATGTTCTTTCTTTTAAACTCAATGGATATGCAAATGATTATTTTATTATTTCTTACAAATATATTTAAATTTCATCTAAAAAAAGTGAAAACCTATTTCACATTTAAAAGACATGAACGCTGAAACTCCTTTTAGATAAGGACTTAGAAACAAATACATCCTAAGATAAATATACATACACAGACATTTTTTCTTTCTGTATGTTTCATGAAGCTAATTGTTTCATGTGCAGAGAAAAACAGGAACCACAGCTCACCACTAGATGACAGACTTGTGCCTAACAGAATTCTATGAAAGGCCACCATGTTCCATCTAGAATATATTAATAGCAGAAATCAGCCTGAAGAATGAAAACAGGAAAAGAAAAAGGACTGCATAGGGCAGGGGTCGGGTATACCACAGCCCACAGGCCAAATGGCCCACTACCATTTTTATAAATGAAGCTTTATTGGAACATGGCCACACTCATTTGTTTAGGTATTGTCTATGGCTGCCTCCAATCTGTAAAACCAGTAGCTGTGACAGAAACCATATGGCTGGCAGATCTTAAAATATTTATTATCTGGACTTTTACAGAAAAGTTCACCAACTTCTGGCACGAAGGAAGAAGTGAGCCCCAAAATCAATGAGAACAAGAGTTTTTAAAAATAAAAATCTAGCATTTCCTAAATACTACTGATATGATTATAAAAATTAGCAAGACACTATGTCGTACACCTAAAACTAATGTATGTCAACTATAATTAAAAATAAATTTAAAAAAATTAGCAAGTCACTGGAAACATTGAATCTCCTAAAAACTAGCTGTTCTTCACTAAAGGTTTTGCAAATTGTAAAATTTGCCACATAAAATGTATCAACTGTGTCTTCTAGGATAATAAACAAAGAAGAGTCAGCCCTTTTTCAAAATCTCCTGATATTTAAATTCAGATGTTATTCAAATCCTTGAATAATTACTGAGGTTACAACTCTTGGCTTTTCTGTTTGGCCACTCCACAACCTGTAACAGAGAAGATGACTGGAAATAAGGCAACTTAGTCCTTTTTCCTGCTTTATAGTACTAACTCTAAAAAGTTTGCAGAAAAACTTGAAATTTAAGAAAGTTCTAAATCTCATTTAATTAATCCATTACTAAGTATTATATTTTTATTATCACATATGCTTTGAGCATTACCTAAGATCAATTCTACTAGCATTTTAAAATATCAGGAGTTCAGATTTTTACTTAGCCTGCTGACATTTTTACAATCTATACTTCTAAAAGTTCATTATTCCATGATACATATTTGCTCTTATTTTTCCAAGTATGTGCCTTTTTACACTTTGACCAGTAATAAAAACAGGCAGCTTATTTCCAATTCGGTCTATTGGGAGAAGTGTGTGTAGCTGATAAACATGCTTCTTGATGGTCAGTCTTTTCCTCACCGACTTACAAAACAGTTGAGTACAACTAAATTAAGTCAACAGTAGAAAAGTCAGTTTTCCTGTTGACTAGTGAAGCTCAAAACACAGAAAACTTTCCTGTCTAGAATCTCAAATAGCTCACGCAAAATTGCTCTTACCTGAAGAAACACTCTCTTTGGCTTTGGACTGGCAGGATTGGAGCTATATGGGAAAAAAGTTCCACTGCAAACAAGGAGGAATGTAATTGTACATACCAAAGTTAAAGTCAGCATGGTTTTTTTTGTGCTTTTGGCAAGGTAGATGAAGTTAATCTAAAACACACACACAAAAATAGAAACATTACCATTGGCAAAAAGGTGACTTTAACTGACAATTTTATAACCCAACAAATAATGGGGAAAATTTATCAGCATGTACTAACATACTCCAACACCCAGTAAACAAAGCACTAATTATAAGGGATTTTTATCACAAGTCAAAACCTAGATAAATGAGAGATGCCACCATTTGCCATGATGATGTCTTTTCAACAGGCAGCCAGACAAGACGGAAAAAGGAAACTGAGACAGTGTGTCTGCTCAGCTGAAAAGAGACTATAGAATATTGATCCATCAACAAACCATGAACTTATTTTCTTTCCTTTTCTATGAATGTGCTCTTAACACTGCATAGTGGACTATTTAATTACCAAAACATCATGACATCAGGCTTTTATTAAAGAACCAGAGGTAAGCTTTTAGGTACAAGAAGGCCTATTTCGATAAAATTCAAATTTCATTCAATGCTTTTATAATGTGCCACATATGCACTGTGGTTCAATTCTCTACTACCCAAGGAGGATGGGCTCACTCTTTTAATAACCCATTGTCTTTAACACTGCTACACAGAAGAAAATAAAAAGAATGATAACCCACAGCATCAAAGAGCGGCAGAGCTATTTCACATAATGAAAATTAAATGAGGTTTTAAAGTATTCCAAGAGGCACTCTCCAAGAGCTTTCCTAATAAAATATAATTTAGAAGATAATATACTTTAATATTCTTTCTTATGGTTTCCAAGATGTAATGCTTTGGAATCATTTTTAATTTCCACAGCGAATTTTCAAGAGTTCATTTTGAAACCTTCCATATGGAACAACTGAAATGCCCCACATTTTGATCATCTTTTATGAGCACAATAGCTTTCATTATTGACTATGATTTAAATACACTGGGCCGGCGGGGAGAGTTCAGTTTATGACGTAGCTGACTCTAGATTAGAACCTAATCTACATATGACAAAACTCCACCATGTGCTTTAATCCTAACAACAGAAACCTATCTAACATGTACAGAGGATTTAAAGGCTTAATATCAAAACCAAAATAAGTAAACCCTGAAGGCAACAAAGAACATTTTAGAATTTTCCATCCATCCTTGCAAATACCAGTTAAGACTTAATCATTATATTAAAGGTAAAACGGCTGGAATGCTCAGATTTCTTTTAGGACTAGTACAGCTGACCTCTAACAATATTGTGCATAGACTTCCATCGATAATGCTGACCATGCATGTGGTATTCTTACCTGCTGTCTCTAGATCCTAACCTCCACACAAGCTGCCCTTTACTATATGAATATCATCTCCATGGATGGAGGAAAGAACTATAATAAAGTCGTAACTACTTTTTCTATTTGGTCCCCTAGCCTCAAATCTCAGAGCGTGCCTGCGGGTATTCAGTAAGTACTTCTTATTCTCAGGATTCCAATGAAAAGAGCCACACAACACAGACCTGCCTCTCCTGGAGGGGTCGGAGTCCTGAGTCCCAGAGAGTGTTGATACCATGCCAAGGGTAGGACCCTGCCTGGACCTCGCTCTTACGAACAGAGGTCTGGCTGTCAACTCTGCATCATGTCTTTCCTTCCCTCTGGAGAGTCCCACGGAAAAGAAGAAGGGAGGACAAAGGTAGGACTCTCCTTCTAAGGGCAGAACATAGATAAAGCAAAATGACAAGCCTGTGATATGCCTTCATTACTTGCTAAATTAAAGGCATTTTGGGTATCATAGTGTACGTCACTCAAGGAGAAAAACTCAATTAATGAATTTTGCTGTGCTAGCAGCGAGGTAGTTGATAATGAAAAAAGCCTCATCATAATTAGTCTTCCCTCACTAGCTCTAATAGCAGTAATAAACTATGTATTTATTAACATTGGCCTCTAATTAGTAAGTTCAAAACACACTATTCAGAATCATTCTAAAAATTTACTACCAAGCAAACTCTACCAATTCTCACTTGGTATGCATTCTACAAATTCACATTCTGATAGTTTGAAAAGTTATTTGAAAAGGTGTAATCAGAAGATTTGGGAAGATGAGGAGGCAAAAAGAACCACCACAAAAACCCCATTTTACATTTTCTTACTATTCTGAATCCATAATATGCACACCCATTCACTATTTCTTTTGCTTAAGACTATCTCAATAAATTATAAGCAACATTATTTCATAGACTAGTATGGCTAAACTCATGACATATTTATATAAAAAAATGGAGAAGAAAATTTTTTTAAAAGTTTTTTTCCTTACAAAATAGGAGGAGAGGATCATTGTACAACCAGCCAAAATGGAAGCCAGCACAACATCAGGTGGGATTTCCGAGCCACTTCTCCCAAGGATAGGGGTAAACATCTCAAATACCGCCCAGATGAGGTACAGTGCATAAAGATAAGGAACAAACATCCCCAGGAGATAAAAGGCAATAAATTTTCCTTGGGCACCTAGGGAAAAAGAAAGAAAACACACATCTCTGAAATTCTACAGTCAGATACAAATTTTTATAGTACCGGTATACTTTGGCACCTAACAGAAATTAGGTTAGATGTGACTCTTGCTCTTTTGGTACATGTTATCTAGTGAGACAGAGCTCTTTCACTCAGAGAAGGTAAAGTACAAATAAGAATTATACAAAATACATAAGTAATGTATTAGTATGTGTTCATAAATGTGAGAATGGAATAGGGCATAAGGTATGAGATAAAAATCTGTGTGATCTGAAAACTAAAAACAACAACAACAACAACAACAATTTAGAAAGCCTACCCAAAAAGATCAAAAAAAGAAATAGTCCCTGGAAGCCTTATCTTATATATTTTAAGGTATTTTCCTATTTGTATGAAAACCAAGAATACCCTACCATGCTGCTTAAAGTCCTTGTGCACGCAAAGCTTTGTGAGCAAAGGAAACGCCACCCAGACAGCACTAATAAATGCTGAGCAAAGTCCTTGATAAGTGAGAACTGTAAGGGAACCACAATGCACAAACAGCGAGATGTCAAAAAATACTTCTCCCAGGTAGTGGTCATTGGCATTCTGAAATAAAGAAAAAAACACAAGTTGTCTTATTTATGGGCCATTTATGAAGATATTCTATTGTAATATAATTTCTACTGCTCTGAAGAGCTACATTTTGTTTTAAGCAGGGTCTATACTTTAAATACTGACAAAGCTACCTCCTATCATGTAGCAATAAATTCAAACTGCTAAACAGGAAAGGGGAATTTAATAAGATGGGGTAAAAACACCATTACTCATACATACTCTGTGCTTTTCCTCCACCGGGCTATAAGTAACCTTTGGAAATGTTCTAAAATAGAAGAAAGGAGCCTCCTAAAACATTCACCTCTGTAAGCTCCTCTACTTAAGCAACTTACAAAGAATTATCAAGCACACTAGAAAAATGGCCTGTGTAGAACAGTACCATCGTACAACAACTCTTTAGCATTTACATTGTATTAGTTATAAGTAATCTAGAGATGATTTAAAGTATATGGGAAGATGTACATAGGTTATGTGCAAATAGTATGCCGATTATATAAAGGACTCGAATGTGCGAGGATTTTGGTGTCTGAGGAGATCTGGGAACCAATTTCCCAGGGATACTGGAGGATGTGGTATAAGCTGCTGCAGCACCAGCAATGGCACACCTGGAAAAAGTGCAGGACCCTTAAAGCACATAGCCGTCTAGGGTTTTGCATGATTCCTGAGTGTTTTCTATGGCCAACTGATCTTGTAGTGCGACTCTGCCTCCCGGCCTGGACTTCTAGTATTTTCACATTATAAAATTTGATGAATATTTTTTGAGCTTTGAAGTCTGAGCATTCCTGTGTAGCACCTTGAGCTCTTCAGAAGAAAGTTGCCATATGAACTTAATAAATTTTAACATCTGAACTAGAGGTTTTATTAAAGAAAACATGAAAGATATTTCAGTGCGGAAAAACTAAAATGGAATAGATATACTTTAGTTATTCTCTTCTCTGCCTTCTCACTTCTGTGTATAGTCCAGGGCATGTTTGTTTTAAGGAACCCCACTACTTCAAGAATTCAAAACAAGAACATGTTTTCAAAATAAATCAAAATTCATTTGACAAACCCCCGTGAACAATGAAAGACAGGCCATAGTAAAATACTTAAGATGTTCGACAGTGTTAATCAAGAGGCATGATCTTTAAAAATGAGGACAATAATTCTTAGGATTCAATTTGAAGCTGAATGTCACTCAGATATTTAAATACAAAGATCTCAGCAATGAAGACTGTAATAACTGAAAATATGTTTGACATTAAGTTCCCAGATTGTACCCAAAGATGAAACAAACATCCCTCCTTATCTGTGGGTTCTGTATCCTTGAGTTCAACCAACTGTGGATTGAAAATATTGGTAGGGGGGGCAATATTACTTTGTTGCTGATATGTACTTTGTAGTTAGGCCTATGATGGTTGCATCATGCACTAAACATGTACAGACTTTCTTTTCTTGTCTTTATTCCTTAAACAGTATAACAACTATTTACATAGCATTTACATTGTATTAGGTATTATAAGTAATCTAGAGATGATTTAAAGTATATGGGAAGATGTACATAGGTTATGTGCAAATAGTATGCCGATTATATAAAGGACTCGAATGTGCGAGGATTTTGGTGTCTGAGGAGATCTGGGAACCAATTTCCCAGGGATACTGGAGGATGTGGTATAAGCTGCTGCAGCACCAGCAATGGCACACCTGGAAAAAGTGCCGGACCCTTAAAGCACATAGCCGTCTAGGGTTTTGCATGATTCCTGAGTGTTTTCTATGGCCAACTGATCTTGTAGTGCGACTCTGCCTCCCGGCCTGGACTTCTAGTATTTTCACATTATAAAATTTGATGAATATTTTTTGAGCTTTGAAGTCTGAGCATTCCTGTGTAGCACCTTGAGCTCTTCAGAAGAAAGTTGCCATATGAACTTAATAAATTTTAACATCTGAACTAGAGGTTTTATTAAAGAAAACATGAAAGATATTTCAGTGCGGAAAAACTAAAATGGAATAGATATACTTTAGTTATTCTCTTCTCTGCCTTCTCACTTCTGTGTATAGTCCAGGGCATGTTTGTTTTAAGGAACCCCACTACTTCAAGAATTCAAAACAAGAACATGTTTTCAAAATAAATCAAAATTCATTTGACAAACCCCCGTGAACAATGAAAGACAGGCTATAGTAAAATACTTAAGATGTTCGACAGTGTTAATCAAGAGGCATGATCTTTAAAAATGAGGACAATAATTCTTAGGATTCAATTTGAAGCTGAATGTCACTCAGATATTTAAATACAAAGATCTCAGCAATGAAGACTGTAATAACTGAAAATATGTTTGACATTAAGTTCCCAGATTGTACCCAAAGATGAAACAAACATCCCTCAAATCCGGTTCCCTTCTCCCTATCTCTGTTGATCCCTCCCACTTCTACCCATTCCAATCCATTCTATACATTGTTATGAGTTTTCGTACTAAATTACAAATTGTGTCACTCATTATCCTGCTTTGAAAATTTTAATGGTGGCCCCATTAATTTTTAGGGTCATCCTCCAACTTTACCCTGCCCTACTTTTCCAGTTATTGTGCTGTCACCTTGTCTTTACCACACTGAATTCTTTACTGACTGTGATCCAAACACGTCTTGTACATTACCACCTTCGACTGCCCATCAACCTGTTCTCTATGTGACACACTTCTACTTGTGCTTCAAAATCCCAGTTCAAATGTCACCACCTCCCTCATGAAGCCTTCCTGATTTCCATAAACAAAGTTCCTCTCTCCTGGCCCTATATTCCTATAGCACTCTATATGTCACTCTATTTTGCTTCATCCCAATGTACTGTAACCACTATGGTTTCCCCATTTTTCCAAATGAAACTGTGAGCTCCTCAAAGAAAGAGATCACATCCTTATGAATCTCTGTATCACCAGGCCTTAACATGGTATTCAAAGAACATTTGTGAAATGAAAATAAAACACATTACTCTTTCCATTGTGCTTTCAGCCCAAAGTTTTATGATTGGACAACTGAAATTAGTCAAAGTAAATGGAATTTTACTAAGCATTCCTGTCTCTACCTGCCATCCCCTCCCGCCCACCTGCCACATCAACAATAATCAGCCACACTCTGGTGACATTCTGTTGCACTGAGAATAAGCATGTGAAATTGAGCCTCACGGTGTAATTCTTTTGGAAACTGAAGCCATTAAGATACAAGTATGAGCTCAACCATTAATGGATGGCTAACCTCTAAGGATCTTTCTTTAATAAGCACTGCAAACATGGAAGGGCTCCTCAGATCATCTCCCAACATTAACTGAAACTGCGACTCAGGTACCAGAGACATCCTTGTGAAAGGATGCTGGAGTTTAGTCTTCTATGTCTCCCTTCTAATCCCTAGCAGGACAAACTGAAAAAAACAGCTGTGTACTGGCTGTCTGGAAAAATAACAGAGCTAAGAAAGGTTTTCCCTTTAACTCACTTAGAAAATCAGAAACCATGGCTTACTCTCTCACTGTTAATTTATTTTCAGTCCCATTATTTCAACCCGAATTCTAATTGTATTTTTACCAAATAAATGTACAGAGTTGAAACCATAACAATATGGCAATATTGTCTAAATCAGCATAAATCATTCTGGAACCCTATCTCCCCTTTTTCCCATACCAACGTGCCTTTAACCCCCATACCATATATGCATGCTGTCAGAATCTACATCAGCAACACATAGATTTTCAAAAATGAAGGAAACTGAAGGGAAAACTTTAAATTCAGCTTTAAGTGCAACATTCTTTCAGGCAGCAAATACTTATGCATTGTAATGCTATGTGTCAGACACCGCCTATGCACAGGGAATAACGAACAAAATAATACCTGCCCTCATGGAGTTTACAATCTGGTGGAGAACAGTTATTCAAATATAAATAACTGGGTGAGCCCAGGGAGGGCTGGTGACTCAAAAGAATAGTTACAAAAACTGAGGCAGATTCAGCAGAGACCCAAAGGCTGTGCTAACAAGCTTTGCTGTTACCACCCCAAACACTATTCACAGCTTTATAATCTCATTGAAATCTTTAAGAAAACCCTCAGAATAAGAAGCCTTTCAAAAATTTAACACGGTTCTGGGAGCCAGTTTTCTATAACCATGTCAAACAATTTTTGATAGCTCAAAAGGCCAAATATAGTGATGCACTGCATAATGACATTTCAGTCACTGACAGACCACATATACGATGGTGGTCCCATAACATTACAATGGAGCTGAAAATTCCTGTTGCCTTGAGACAGTCACAACACATTGCTCACCTGTTTGTGGTGATGTTGATGTGAACAAACCTACTGCACAGTCAGTCTATAAAAGTATAGAACATACAATTACAGGAGTAGACTTTACCATACAGGTTTATATAAGTACACTCTGTAACATTCACACAATGATGAAATCGCTTATGATGAAAATGCATTTCTCAGAAAGTATCCCCATTGTTAGGCAGTGCATGACTGTACAATGAATCCCACTTGAATTTGTCTTTAATCCTTGAAGGCAGGAAAAAGAAATCAATAAGCCTAACACTTACCACATAATAAAATCTTTTTGCGAGGGTATGTATGAATATTATTTTGGCTATAGCTGCAGTTCCATAAAGACAAACGGAGACATAGAAGTGGTTATACCATGAGAGAGACTGTCCAATCAGAGAGATGAACACTGCTATGATGAGAACAGTCACCAGGCTAGTGAACCAGCTTATCAGAGTGATGCCAAGTCCACAGAAGAAGTCCTTTGTGTAGTTAGCAGCTAACGAAGAGAAAACACAAAGTAGAAATCACCATCTTTATTGAACAATTTCATAACGAGTAAGTAGAGTTAAAGGGGCAAAAGTTAAAACAGAAAATTCACCACTGTAACCGAAAGGTATCAAAATGTCCTAGGGGTAAGTTTTGTTAAATATTAGAGCAGGGAAGGTATCAATGAATAATACTTAGGTAACATTTACTGAGAGTCTGTGGGTACTAAAGAACCAAAAAAATAAGTCTTCCAGGAATAGTTCAGATATATTCCTGACTGGGAAAGTGGGCAGTCTTAATCTTCATCACCTTTGGGATGCTTTGTGTATTGAAATGTTTAAATTGCTGCTAAACATTTTATCTTCTAACAGCACATACCAACCTAGGTTATAAAACATTTCAAGTGAAAGAGACCAATTTAAGCAGAAGCAGTTCATTCATACTTCAGAATAGTATGCTATTGGTCTGCAGTGTGGACAAGATGTTGTAATGGGATTTTTCACTAAAAGTCAATCTGTACAAACCATTTTTCAATAGCTCCTATGTGGTACTTCTATGGAGTACGTAAAGTACATAAAAATTGCCTGCTTCATCAAGACTAAAAGTATTATGAGCATATTAATCTGCTATTCATTTAGAAATTTCTTAAAGCATAAATCAAATACGATTTTTATTCAGGCTTTTAACTTCTTGGAAAGATAAGCAAACGGACTAAAAATCTTCAGCCAAATTCTATATCTATGCTAGTATTGCAGTTTTAGGGAAAAATACTTACTTTTATGTTTGGGCTGCAACAATTTTTTGCCCAGGTACAAAACAACAGCCATTACCACCATGTAGTTAATGATTGAGCCAACACGAGACGGGTAGGCAATGACAAACAGGCCGAGTATATCAAAGAAGACCATGTTCCCGTGTTGATACTTAGAAGAAGAAACCAACATATCAGATGTAGCTAGATATTTAAGAACTGCTAAAATGTTGTCACCTATTAGTAAAGAAAAGAAAGATAACAAAGTTGAACAAACCATCCACTGTTCGAGTAAAGAAATACCTAGAAAGAATATGAAGAGAAATAGCTTTCTACCATCCTATTGCTCTCCCTGACTTTTCTTACCAAATTTCTAAAGAAAAGAAAGATAACAAAGTTGAACAAACCATCCACTGTTCGAGTAAAGAAATACCTAGAAAGAATATGAAGAGAAATAGCTTTCTACCATCCTATTGCTCTCCCTGACTTTTCTTACCAATTTCTCATATAAGGCCCATGCCCCTACTCCGTTTCCTCCCCACGTAGAAGTTCAGCCAACTGGCCTTCATTCTTTCCCTCCTATTGGAACTAGTCTGTGATCAATTGTACCCTCACTGTTGACAAACCCAACGGCTGTTTCTTAGTTTTTATTCATTTAATATATATTTAATTTAGCAGACCCTGCTCTAGACACCAAAAATTCAGTGGTGAAGTAAGAGACAAAGACCTCTCATGAAGCTCAAAGACACCAAACAAGTTATTACACATGCGTTATGAATAAGGAATGTCAATTACAGTTCGGTAAAAAAATTAATAAGGAGAACTATTAGAGTCCCCTGGGAACATGTCATGGGAGACTAATGCATTTCAGAAGGCAGGGAAGCAACCCTGAGGAAGTGATATTTATCACTAAAGGATGAATAGGAGCTAGCTACAATGGCAGAGACTGTCCAGACTAAGGGAACTGTGTAGATAAAGGCCCTGAGGAGGGAAAGTTCCAAATACAGAAACGAAAGTCATGAATGAGGAGAGAGATGATTCAGAAATGAAGCTGGAGAGCAAGGAGAGTCATTAGCAGGCAGAACCCAACACTTTAGAGGTTTATAATAAATATCTGTTATATCAATGAGTGAATGAATTTGACCTTTAACATAGCAGCAATAAGAAGACTTGCATGATTGGCATTTCTTCCTGCTTCTCATCTCATCCTTGACTTTCTCTTCTTTTCACTTAAGACACCAACCACACTGTCTTACCATGAGATTTCTTTCACGACTTCTCTGTCTGTCTTAAAATGTGTTTCCCCAAAGCTCGGGTTTAGTCCTTAACTTTGCTTCACTCTTCCAAAACACATTTCCATTCTCTATACTTTTGTGGTATCCTCTATGCTTTTAATTCCCAAACCCATATACCAAGTTTGACTAAGAGCTCTAACACTACATCTATATTTTCATCTGGTTGGGTCACAGATCCCATCCATGTTATATGTCTGACAGAATTCATAGTCTCCTCCCCTCTCCATTACTGAGGCTTTATACTTTGCAATCATCTTTGCTGCCATCCATCTGATTTATCCCGTCTACCTAACCTGTCAAGTCCTGTTGAATTTACATCTAATTATCTAATGTTCCATCCCTCCCCTTTCGTTTCTATCTGTCGTCAACACCACAGTCTAGGCTCTCCCCACTCTCCATCATCCACTCCACACAGCATTAACAGACTAACAGCATTTAAACCATCATTCATTCAAGTACTCAGGCCTTTAATGATTCCTTATTTCTGCAGCAGCATCTTGCTGCTTTTTAAAGCCTTCTACAAATTACCCCATACACTCCTACTTCATTTCCCTCTATTTCTGAAAATACAAATTCCATTTAGATTGTAGTCTGACAATTCTATTCACCAACAGCACACACACACACACACACCCCACACAGACACAGAAACACACCCTACGTATGCTGTGCTCTTACTTGGAACATCCTCTCCACTTGGCCAAACCCTACCAACTCTTTAAGGCTCAGAATCAGATTTACCTCCCCTGATTACTCCAGATCCCTCTGGAAAGCACTTTAACTCCTTTGCCCCTGTGTTGTCCTGACACCTGTCCTATAATCCTCTCAATTACTCTCACTACCCAACCTTGATTTCTATACCTGGGCAAGCTGCCCAAATGTGTTGGTGCCCCCTCCAATGTATAGCTTCCATTTTAGCTACACTCTCATCGCTCAGCAATCTTACCATAACCCTGGCTCAACTCCTTTCCAATTCCTCACAATGAACAGTCTATGGTCTTAATTGCTAAACTAGACTTCAAGGCTAAAATGCAAGCCCTCTTATCTCTAACTCCAAAGCCCCCGCTCATTCACACCACATGCTGCCTCCCTAATGCACAGGCCACAGAATATTTATAGGTTTATAGGTCATCCCTTATATTCTATCTTACCATATATGAAAAGTATAAATTAGAATACCAACCTGCTCTCTGAATGGAATCTGTTAGAATTCTGTCCGCTGTGTCATACTTGGTGTGATAAATATATCCATTCTCAATAAAAGCTAAGTCTATTCCTAAAACATACAGGGGAAAAAAATAAGTCATTTTGCTTTAAAGATCAACTTTGCTTTAGGCCTATTTGTTTAATATATTAAATTCCTAAAAGACAAAATGTCAAAGCAGTGGCATGATTGCTTTGTCACATTTATGGATGAATGATGTAAATTCTCTTCCAAATTCTATAGCTATGGTACATAATTCAATACATAATGACTGAGGAAGTATACTACTACACAGGGAAGCATTACAAGTCACATGCCAAGGAGTAGGAATATTGAGACTGGGAGGTCATCAAAACTTTGCCATCTACATACTTGCCAAGCCAGAGCCAAATTTTAACTTCAAATAAGCTGTACAAGCCACCGAGGGTGTGGGCAAAGCAAAATAACAATGAAAATCAAAGTCCCCTGAAGGATCTATTACCATCTTTTGGGAATGAACTGCTAAATAGTTCTCCTCTGTTCTTCTGTCACACTGTGGGGTAAGATGACATGTTCTAGAAAAGGCAAGTATTTAAACCAGAGTGGAGTTTAAAAGAAAAGGAAAATATCAGGAATTTAGTTTCAATGAGTCAGAATACAGAGCACTCACATACACAATTTGCTCTCAGAAAATGCTGTTTACTCACAAACTTCCAAAAAGTAAAATCTGACTTTGATTAAGCATTGTCACACTATAGCCCATAACAACTGACAAAATACCTGGAATGTTCCCAAAATCCCTGTAGATGCGGAAGTCAGTATCTGAAGGAATGATTCCACTCTGAAAAACCTCCTGAGCCACCACAGAAGCAAAAGGGTGTTTAGCTGCTGAAACATAAGCTTGGACCAACCAAGGATTTTCAGGACCTGAAATGAAACATGACAATATAAAGTTAATCTGGTAATTTTTAAAACATATTGATTTTTTAACACACCTAAAATTGTTACTGTGGTGGTCTGGAAAGAAAGGTCCAGTGTTTTGGGGTTTTTTTCAATTTTTTTTCTGTATTTTCCAACATTTCTCTGATAAATGTTTAACTTTTAGAATAAAAATAATGTTTCAGAAAACAAAATTATTTTTAATTATAAAATAACAGCACTTAAAAGTTTAATTTAAAAATGTTTAAATCACTCAAAAGTCCATCATCCTAAGATAACTATTATCATTTTTGTATCTTCAAGTTTCTTTAAAATGTATGAATGTGTGTATGTAGCTGTACTCATAGGGTATACATACTCTGTACATTAGTCTTTCATTTAACATTGTATTAAATGCGTTTTCCTACATTGCTAGATATTACAGTAGTCATTTTAATTAACTACATAACATTTCACTGAATATATCGTAAAGTTCCTTATTACTATTGATTATAATTTTTTTAATCATTATTAATAATTCTGCACTAATACCTTCATGCATACATGGTTTTTTTCAAATATGGGAGTTTTTTCTTTAGGATAGGAAGACAAATTGTATTATTGTTTCCAATTACTCACTCCTCCCTCTCATGTAACTTGTAATGAAATGCCTTCCTGTGGGAGTACTACATATACTTTCTCACCCTATTTAACTGCAGGCTTGGCCACATGAATTGTGTTGGCCAATAGACTGTGAATGGGAGAGACATGAACCTCAACCAAGAAGACTTTTAAGAGCCATCATGTGGTCCATACCTCTTGTTAATTTTGGTCATGAGATCAATACATCCCTGATGGGACTTCTCCTTCAACCTGGATCCCAGAATGAATAAGACACATGAAACATAATAACCATGGAACATAACTACAGTTATCCAGGAATCAAAATGTAACATGAGCAAGAAATAAGCCTTTGCTGTTGTAACTGAGATCCAGGGGTTGCTTTTTATAACAAAATTTAGCAAAGAGTTGACTGATATAGACAGATCAAGTAATTGTATTTCAGAAAATCTAAGAATATTAACACTTTAATAAATTTATAAACAGATAAACTGCTTTCCTACAGGAAAAAATGGCCATAAATGAGGGGGAGACAGAGAGGTGGAGAAACACTATAGAACCAGTTATGCAAGTGACCCAGATACTGTAGTTACCAAACACAGGTCTGAAAATAATTATGATTATTATGTACAAAAACACAGATAACAAGAATTTAAGCAGACAAGTGCAATCTATTTAAAAAAAGAGTCAAATGGAAACCCTAGAACTGAAAAACGTAACAACTGATGTTAAGGATTTTAACAGATGGTTGAATACAAAGCTAAACACAGCAGAAGAAGGATTATAGATTAACAGAATTAAACACAAAAAGAAAAAAAGGATGAAAAATATAGAAATGAGTATATCAGCCATGTGGGATAGAGTAAAAAGGTCTAACAAATGACTAACTGAAGTCCCAGAAGGAGAGAAGACAGAATAGAGCAGAAGCAATGTTTAAAGAGATAATGGCTAATAATTTTCCACAGAAAATATCAAGCTGTGAATTCAAAAAGCTCTACAAACCCCAAACAGGATAAATAGAAAGAAAAAACATACTTAGCACCAAGATCTTTGCTTCTGAATACCATTATACACTAAAATGACGAGGTCTCCTTAGAGAAATGGCTAGTTCCAGAACTGGGGCTAGGAAAGCAGAAGTAGAACATCTTGTACCAGAAAGTAAAGAAGTGCTCAAAGGAACATGTCAGAGATGTCAAAAGGACTCAGGCACTAGTTGAAGGTGCTGCCACTGGCTTAAACTGGAATAATTCATGCATCAAACTGATAGTATATACATATATAATCTATAAAATAAAAATACATGAAATACTGAAATAAATACACAAATAAGGGAGACTAGAAAGCCTTTCTTCTAGCAGAATTCCACCTATTAACTACAGATGAAATGACAGTGCTAGAAAACTCAGTATCTGGCTAATATTATAATAAAAATGCTTTGGGGTAAGATTCGTTGATGACTGCTAAAAGTAGGACCAAATTTTCATGAGAAACAGGATATTTACAGAGTTTCAAAGTACCCACTACAAAGGTGAAAAAAGTAACTTTACAAAGTAGAAAAACCCGGCAAGTATCATAATTAAAGGGTCAAAAGTTAAGTTCATCAAACACATGTTACATGCCTCCTGATGTGATACACTTAGAAAAACACAAATGGAAAAAGGAAAACAATGGGGAAACAGATTATCAAACCTTATCATGTTAAAATACTATTATTAAAGTATTATATATTAATAATTAAAATTATACTATTAAAATATTTAAACCACATTGAAAAACAGATAAAGGTAAACTATCAAGAAAAAATGTGTCATAAAAATCAGGACAATGGCCACTCTTAGAAGAGAGGTAGAGAGTTGTATTTGAAAGGAGCAAGTGAAAACTTCTGGAGGGGTGTGGCAAGAATCTATTCTCTTTCACGATAGAGCGGTACTCATCTTACAATAATTAAGTTTATGCTTCTATGTTTTTATATGTGTTTGTTATAATGACTGCGATATATCTAATAAAACATGACAATTAAATGCCGTGTTTGATCCTGAACTGGTACTCAGATTAAAAACACAAAAGCAGCTAGGACATTATTGGTACAGCTGGAGAAATCTGAATACATATTGTTCATTAGATCATAGTTTTATACTAATGTCGTATTTTTTGAGTGTGATAAATGTACTGTTATAAAGAAACATATTCTTGTTCTTTATCTTTTGAGATGATTGCATTGAGATTATCTATTAAGATAGCTCCTTTTTTCTGACAACAGAGATTGATTTTGCAAATATTAAACCATCTTCATTTACTATTCAGTGAAGTTGCAAGATATAAAATCAATATACAAAAATCAGTTGCATTTTATCCACTAATGAACTGAAATTAAGAAAAGAATACCACTTACAACTGCATCAAAAAAGAATTTTTTAAAAACCTAAGAAAAAATTTAGCCAAGAAGTTGAAAGATTTGCACACTAAAATCATAAGACACTGATGAGAGAAACTTAAGACACAAATTAATTGGAAGACAGTTCGTGCTCATGGATTGGAAGAATTAATATTGCTGAAGTGTCCATAACTACCCAAAGCAATCTACAGATTCAATGCAATCCCTATCAAAATTCTAGTGGCAATTTTCAAAGATATAGAACAAACAATCCTAAAATTTGTATGGAACCACAAAAGACCCTAAATAGCAAAAGCAATCTTGGGAAAGAAGATCAAAGCTGGAGGCATCACATTTCCTGATTCCAAACTATATTACAAGGCTATAGTAATCAAAACTATATGTTATTGGCATAAAAAAAAAAGACAGATCAATAGAACAGAGCAGCTAGCCCAGAAATAAACCCAAGCATATATGTTCAATAAATTTATGACAAAGGAGCCAAGAATATATAATAGAAAAAGGACAGTCTCTTCAATAAATGGTGTTAGGAAAACTGGACAGCCACATGCAAAAGAATGAAACTGGACCACCTTTTGGCACATACAAAAATTAACTCAAAATAGATTAAAGATTTGAACATAAGACTTGAAACCCTAAAACTCCTAGAAGAAAACATAGGCAGTAAGCTCCTTGGCATTGTTCTTAGTGATGATTTTTTCGATTTGACACAAAAAGCAAAGGCGACAAAAGCAAAAACAAATAAGTGGGAATATATTAAGCTAAAAAGCTCTACAGCAAAGGAAGCCATCAACAAAATGAAAAGACAGCCCACTGAATGGGAGAAACTATTTGCAAATCATATATCTGATAAAAGGTTAATATTCAAAATAAGAACTAATACAACTCAATAGCAAAAAAAAACAATAAAAAAACAACAAAAAAAAAACCCACCAAAAACCAAAACCAATCCAATTGAAATATGAGAAGAGAATCTGAATAGACATTTTTTCAAAGACATGCAGATGGCCACCCAGTACATGAAAAGGCACTCAACATCAGGAAATGCAAATCAAAACCACAATGAGAAATCATTTCACACCTGTTAGAATGGCTATTACCAAAAAGATAAGAAATAACAAGTGTGGTGAAGGTGTAAAGAAAAGGGAACCCTTGTACACTATTGGTAGGAATGTAAATTGGTGCAATCACTATGGAAAACAGTACGGAGTTTCCTCAAAAAATTAAAAATGGAACTATCATATGAACCAGCAATTCTACTTCTGGGCATTTATCTAAAGGAAACAAAATACTAACTTGAAAAGACAGATGCACCTCCATGTTCAATGAAGCATTATTTACAATAGCCAAGATATGAAAACAACCTAAGTGTCCACTGATGAATGAATAAAGGAAATATGGTATGTATATACAATGGAATATTATTCGGCCATAAAACAGAAGGAAATCTTGTCATTTGTGACAACATGGATGGACCTTAAGGGCATTGTACTAAATGAAATAAGTCAGAGATCATACAAATACTGTATGATCTCACTTATATGTGAAATCTTAAAAAAAAAAAAAAAAAAGAAAGAAAGGCTAAGTTCATAGACATAGAGAACAGACTCGTGGTTGCCAGAGGTGGGGGTGGGTGAAATAGGTGAAGGTGTTCAGAGGTATAAACTAAGTAAGTCCTGGGCATGTAATGCATAGCACAGTGACAGTATAGTTAATAACGCTGTATTGTGTATTTGAAAGTTGCTAAGAGTAGATCTTAAAAGTTCTCATCACAAGAAAAGAAAATTGATAACTATGTGTAGTGATGGGTGTTAATTAGACTTATTGTGGTCATCATTTTGCAATACATACAAATATTGAATCATTATGTTATACACCTGAAACTAAAAAACAAAAAACAAAAAAAACTCATAGTCTTGGAATAAGCTCGACTTGATTGGTAAACATTATCTTTTTTGTATGTATATATAAACATATACATATACAAACACAT